TTCCCCACCTTTAGTCTTGCTGTTTATGTGAGATCATACATTTCCTTTTTATTTAAACCACTTTTGCATTTTCTGTACTTGCAACCAAAAGCATACCAAGTAACTTGTTAAGGATTAAAGCTAAATAAGAACCAATGCAGATGACCCAAGTCTCACAAGCTTTTCCACTGGATGATGCTATTGAGGCAGCATTGGTCTTTCTATTATGAGAGAGCCCATCCTATTGTATTATTTCTGAACTGTTGGCTCTGGGAAAAGATTTCTAGGAAAAAGTACTCCTGAAAAATTGAGTTTGATTTTGAGAAAAGAAAGAGGTGGAGAGATACGGGAGAAAATGGAGAGAGACACAAATAACAGAGTGAAATTTGTGTGGGAAGTTGCAACTGGAAGGATGGAGAAAAATTTTATCTGAGAATGGTCCTTTGAAATACGATGGTCAGGTGTGGTGAGAGGGATGAGAAAAACAAGCCAGTCAGGACAGCTGTAAGCGCGAGGGAGCTTTTCTCTCCAATGAGAGACCCAGGAAATCTCAGAGAGATGGTGTGTGACAAAGTGGAAGACAAGGGCGTGATATGAAGATGACTAGGTAAAGGGCTTTGAAATACTCCAACTACAGAAAGCTGACCGGAAACTGACAGAATTACACACCGAGCTGACATCAGTGCTCACTCATGTTGAACTTGTGGCTGATCGGACTATTCTTTAGAGTCTACCCAGCAAACTTTCTTTTAGGCATGTGAGCTGGGCATGTGATCCAGGTTTGGATTATCATAGTTCTTCATTCTCCAGGCAACTTCAATCAGTCCAAGTGGTAGGCACATGACTCAAGGAACGGCCAGAGTCCTTCCCTAGAAAATTATACACAGATGCTGAGAAAAACAAGGTGGCTTTTTTTTTTTTTTTTTTTGCTAATAGACAAAGAAACAGAGTTGAGCGGAAACAAAAGGCAGAAGAAAAAGAGGGAAGCATTTTTCTGTGTCAGACCTTAAGGCCTAGGCTCCTATAGCATTTGTTTTAAATCTGTGAACTACCCCAGAGTGGCAGATCATTTTCTTCAGAAATGGCCACCACGATATATCCCATCCCACGTACTCTAACTACAATGCAACATTGACACTCCTTCTGTGGAGTGGTGATGTCTGTATCCCTGCCTCTTGTACCTGGACAGACCTTTGTGACCACTTGATCTGAAAATGTATGGTGGAAGTGGTGCTGTGTGACTTCTGACACTGAATCATAAAAATGCCATACACTATTGCTTTATTCTCTGGGGACTTCTGATTTTGGAACTCAGGCACCATGCTTGAAGAAGCCAGGAGCTACCTGAAGAGACCATAGGGGTCATGCCAACAGCTCTAGATGAGGTCCCAGCAGACAGCGTCAACCAGAAATGAGACATATCCATATGCATCGAGTCACCTTGAGCCTCAGTCTTCCCAACTGAGGTTCCAGGCATTGAGGGGCAGGAACAAGTCACCCCCACGTATCCTATCTGAATTCCTGACCCATACAGTCCATAGAATAATAAAATGATAGTACTATATCACTAAACTTTGCGATGGTCTGTTACACAGCTACATTTAGCAGAAATACTCAGTGTCCTTCTTAGCTATGTGAACCAACAAATTCTCTTTTTTGCTTAAGCTAGTTTGAAATGAGTTGCTCTCCTTTGCAACTAAAGGAATCTTGACTCATAAACCCTCTGTGCTCAGTTGCTCAGAAGTGTCTGACTCTTTTGAGCCTATGGACTGTAACCCGCCAGTCTCCTCTGCCCACGGAATTTTCCAGGCAAGAATACAGGAATCGGGTGACATTTCCTACTCCAAGGGATTTTATTCTTTACCACCAGCACCACCTGGGAAGCCCCCATCAACCCTCTGTGTTAAGTCACTTCAGTTGTGTCCGACTCTTTTGCCTATGGACTGTAGCCTGCCAGGCTCCTCTGTCCATGGGATTTCAAGGCCAGAATACTGGAGTGGGTTGCTGTTTCCTTCTCCAGGGGATCTTTCCGACCCAAGGATTAAACCTGGGTTCTTATGTCTCCTGCATTGGCCGGTGGGTTCTTTCCCACTAGTGGGAATCCTCTGTGCTGTGCTTAGTCACTCAGTCATGTTCGACTCTTTGCGACCCCCATGGGCTGTAGCCCACCAGGCTCCTCTGTCCCTGGGGATTCCAGAGGCAGGAATACTAGAGTGGGTTGCCATGCCCTCCTCCAGGCGATCTTCCCACCCCAGGGATCGAACCACATCTCCCACATTGCAGGCGGATTCTTTACCAGCTGAGCTACCAAGGAAGCCCGGAAGCCTCCAGTCTCTAGGAATTATCCATTCTTGCAAATCAGTTACTCAGTTTACAAAAAAAAAGGTGGTTTTTCACATGGTCTTCACAGGAAAAAAGTACAGAAAGATAGTGAAAAAGAAAGAAGAGTCAGAATTAGGGCAAAGGCCTAAAAAAGGGGTCTTCTTTCTGTTTTCTTCAATTCCATGACTTCACGGGAAATGGCACGCCTTATCTCCTCATTCAAATCATGTCATTTTTCTACTTAGGATTGGGTTAGCCACTGATTTACTGAATGACTTTTGACAGTCATTGTCACCTTGCTGGGTCTATTTCCTTTTTCAAAGGGTGATAGTGGAGGGAGCTAGTTCTTTATCAGCAAAATGAGGGCTAGATGTGGTATTTATTAGCATTCTTAATAACAGCCCTGAGCTAAGTATTATGGTAGGTGTTTCCCACGTATTCCCACTTGCTCCCCACCAAGCCGCTAGGCAGCAGATATTATTAGCCACTTACAGTCCTTTCCTTAACTAACACGCTATCCACCCTGTTGAACTTCTTCTCTAGTGCCTCTCACTATGATACACTCTGAGGGCGTGACAAGTCACATGGGACAATTTCCTCATTTTAAAGAAGCTTATGTTCAGATTGGAAAGGTAAGGCTAAACTAGGTAATAAATTGTTACAATCTAAACTGAGTAGCTCTGGTCATAGATGCAACCAGAGTTATATTTATTACTTATCATCGTGTAACAGGTTACCACAAATTCAGCAGTTTAAGACAATACACATTTATAATCTCACAAGTTCTATGGTCCAGGAGTTCTGGGTTCAGCTTAGCTGAGTTATCTGTAGGGTCTCACAAGCCTGCAACAAGGCATTGGCTGGGTTATGTTCCCAAGTTGAAGCCAGGATCCTCCTCCAAGCTCATGAGGTTGTTGTAACAATTTCTTGCAGATTTAGGACTGAGGGTCCTATTTTCTTGCGGTCAGGAGGGGGCAGCTCTCAGATCCTAGAGGCTCCTGCAGTTCCCTCCCATGAGCCTTCTCCACAGGCAGTTCACAACATGGCAGAGTTCTTCTTCAGGGCCAGCAAGAGACTCACGCCAGTCAGCAAGAAAGGAGTGTTATATAATGTGTCTGTAACCATGCGAGTGACACACCATTATCTTCACCATGTTCTACTGCCTACAAGCAAGTCACAGGTCCCACCCACACTCAAGGCGAGGGAATCACACAAAGATGTGACTCACTGAGGGGGTGATGGGGTCATGGAAAGGTGTATTTGCAGCAGGAATTTAAAAAAGAGAGAGGGGTCAGAGTAAACTGGAATCCTCAGGGGAGGTTTTACGGAGGGACTTAGGCTACAGTTTGAAGGATGAGTAGAAGTGAGACCAGCAAAGAGGGGAAGAGAAGAGGCAGGACATCAAGGGCTAAAGAACTATATGGGTGATGGTGTGGAGGTGGGGTTCTCCTCACAGTACACAAAAAGCTAACAGAAACCTGCTGACTTTATACATCACAAAGGGTAGGAGGACCTTTTTTTTTTTTTTTTAACCAAAAAGGAAGTTGGATAATGGAGAGTCCTGGCCTTGGTGTCAGAAAATGTGGGTTCCAGATTCAGTTTTTCTATTAACTAGCAGTGTGATTGGGATCTTCTGGTTATCCAAGTCTTGTTTCTCAAAAACGCTTTTATTTACCTGGTTATTGTGAGGACTAACCACGCTCTTGACTAGGTGCTCTGCAAATTGTCCTATTTCCAAAGGTAGCTTCATCAACTTTCAAGTCCCTGCTCTCTCTGGGTCCCCCTACTCTCTGACTCCTCTTTCTCAGTCTTTCCCCCATTCTCCTTCCTCTTAAAGTCTGCTAAATTTGACGAGGGAGAGCATTCTCTGGGCTCTGACCTTGGCCCGTCTCTCACTCACTACCCTTTTGCCTTGGGACTCTCAGGAGCCCCACCCAGGACTGATGGCTCCCAAATCTATGCTCCAGCCCAGACCCTTTCCCCCAATGCCAGACTCATGCATCCAACCAGTAACTGATCAATTCTTGGGTCTCCTGCAGGCCCCTCAAATCCAACATACCCCAAACTGAATTATCTTTCCGCCCAAACTTTTTCCTCTTCCGTTTCATGCCTGCTCTTAAAGAATCCCACTGGAAAATCATCATTCTTTCTTCCCCCACCCACCTGAGAGCCAAATGGTCACCAAGTCCTATTTCTTTAGCTTTTCTTCCCTCCATCACCACTGCCCTCGGTTGAATCTCATCAATTCTCACCTGAATCACTGCAGTCGCTTCTTAACTGATCTGTCTCATTCTATCTCCACACTTCACAAAATGAACCTTCTGAAGCACAGATCTGATGATACTGCTGCTCTGCTCAAAAGCATTCAGAGGCCCCCAAGTACTTCAGAATGACATCCAAACTCCTGGGTACCCTCTTCAGCATCTGAAACCCTCCTGGATCTGACTCTTGCCCACTTCTCCTGTCTCCTCTGTGCCCACTTCCTCCCTGTCGCCTCTGCTCTGGCTTGCAGTTCTTACAGTGCTCCATGTTCTTACAAATCTCTGTGTGTCCTGCCATATTTAAAATGGATAACTTTCCAGCAGTGAAAATCTCATGAGAACGTGCCTCTCGCAAAGGGTCTTCTTCATCCCTCTCCAGAAAAGGAGAAGAAGAAACACAAGAAGAAGAGCCTGGTGCAGAACCCCAGTTCCTATTTCATGGATGTAAAATGCCTTGGATGCTATAAAATCACCATTGTCTTTAGCCATGCACAAACAGTAGTAGTTTTGTGTGTTGGCTGCTCTACGGTCCTCTGCCAGGCTGCAGGAGGAAAAACAAGGCTTACAGAAGGATGCTCCTTCAGATGGAAGCAGCACTAAAAGAACCCTGTATCAAGATGAGTGGGAAACCATCCCGATAAAGACGTGTTGGATACATCCTGTTTATTGTCTTGTTTTACTCCTAGGAAGCTCCTACCACACATATTCAGGGGCAACCAGAAGAGTGGATTCTAGAGTCACTCTAGAGTCTGGGGCAAGTAAGTGGCCAAGTACTTAAAAAGTCCATTTGGGACATTGCTATCCCTAGGTTCATGGAGTAAATCTGCAGAGTTTGATTAAAAACTGGAATAGTATGTAAATAGGGTATTTCCTTTTACTTGTATGTTTTCTTAGAACTAAGAACTGACAGTTGATACTTAAAATGCAATCCGGCACACCACCTTAATATAAAACAGCTTAGGATCCTTTATTCACAGTTCTCAGAAGCCTTGTTTGGAAGCATATGAGTGTAGAGTTTGCTGCTAGGCACCTGGTCTGGGGCTAGAACTCTCCAGTCCCTTATAGTTAAAGACTTGTCCAAGCAGAGGTTAGTGTCTTATACTCCACAGCCAGTATTGCAGCCGATTCTGGGCTGGTGGGGGTTGTGGACTCATGAACAGAGGGGGAGAATGTGTGGATGTGTAAGAGCCTACAGGTAAAGGAGGAAAGGAAATAGAAGACGGATGAATAGAGGTGAATGAGGGTGGTACCTGAACTTTTCGAGATACAGATGATGATTCTTTACCTGACTGTGTACCTAGAGTTGGTACATAAACAACTGAAACTGTCTGTATCTTGTTTAGGAAGGCATTGTATGCTGGAAAAAGAATAAGAGAGATGTCAACAAGGAGATCTATTTTCACTGGAGTAAGGCTTTAAGGGTCAAGTCCGTTCTTAAGTATTGCTATAAAAAAGTAATGCTTCAAATTAAATAACACTATATACTTAACAGGAAATTTTTATTCAGTGATTTTTAGAGGTATTCCAACTTTTGTCTGAAAGATGGGAAATGCATGTGTAGATAATGGTATGTTCTGTGTTGCCTGAATCATCTCTAACTGTGTATTTGAACAAAACTAGCTATAATCTAAAGTTTAGCGGTGATTTCCACTTCTGAGTGGTATTTGTTTGCCACATGCAGTTTATTGTTTCTCAGTAAGTTGGGCAGGATCTTTGGTCCACCAGGTGACTAGGTAGGGAGGCTAAGTCAGTTTCAATTGCATGTCCCAAATTAGATGTGATAAAATGAAGGCAGTTTCCAAGTTTAAAGTCCACAGTGCTGAATATAAGGACTCCTTACCTAGAAAGAGGGAAGTTGTTGATGCCAGTACCACCAAGAGGGTAAAGAGGAGAATCTAGCAAGAACCTGCGAACTTCTGGAGAACACCTGAAACTTCATATTGATCTACGCATTGGCAGAATAAAAGAAGATAGTTTTTTGATATATCCAGGACAGATGTTGCATTTAAAAATTGTGTGCTCCTGAGATGTCTAGCTGAAGCACTCAAAACCTATCCCTTTAGGAAATTTTTTGTTTTTTACCAGAGAAAAAGGGGTGAACTGTGCTTGGCGTCTCTACCTCTTTTTGGCTTTTTACCACTCTAATGTAACAAACTACAATTCTTGAGCCTTTCTTTTCAGCTTGCAAAGGAATGTTTAAATTCTCTGCCACTGTAAAATGCCTGTTATCTTTCCTATGTACTTTAACTCCAGGTGATGTGCTTCAACTTTTAATCCCTCTAACCTGAAACAATGACCTCTTAAATCCAGGAGCCACTTGTCTTTTTTGTTCAGCTGTCATTTCTAGGGAACATAATGCTTTGTATATAACTTTGTCCTCAATAAAACTTCAGACTTATGTCTTTTGAAGTGAAAAAATAATAAAATAAAATGAATAGCTGTCAAGGACCAACAATACAGCACATGGAACTCTCTCAGTGTTGTGTGGTGGCCTGGATGGGACGAAAGTTTGGGGAAGAATGGATACATGTGTATGTATGGCTGAGTCCTTTTGATGTTCACCTAAAACTGTCACAATATCATTAATCAGTTACACACCATACAAAATAAAAAGCTGAAAAAAAATCTGTGTCTTGTCAGACTGTCCTTCCACCACTCCCCTTCCCTGCCTTGCTAACTCATCTTGATCAGTCAGCCGCTCCACGTGGAAGCCCGCTCGGATGTGCACCAAGCAGCTGGTGCAGCCTCGGTCACAGCTCTCATTGCTCAGGAGTGCCAAGGCTCGTATTGTAATCACTTTTTCTTTTGCTGTTTCTCTTGCTAGATTCTTGAGAGCAGTAATGGCGTCTTATTTTATTTTCCTAGTTTGATGCTCTGATCACCTTTTCTTCCAATCTGATCCTTCTAAGTATTTTCTGTATTTATTTTGTGAATGGGCAACACATTCATCTATCTAAAAGAACTTACAAAATATAGTGAAATGTCTCCCACTCTTGTCCTCCCTGCTCCCTGCAGTTGTCCAGTCCCCCTTTCCAGAGGCAATCAATGTTATTGGTTTCTCGTGAATGTGTGTGTGTGGGCTCAGTCTTGTCTGACTCTTTGTGACCCCATGGACTGTAGCCCACCAGGTTCCTCTGTCCATTGAATTTTCCAGGCAAGGATACTGGAGTGGTTTGCCGTTTCCTACTCCAGGGGATATTCCCAATCCAGGGATTGAACCTGAGTTTCCTGCGTCTCCCGCATTGGCAGGCGGATTCTTTACTACTGTGCCACCTGGGAAGACCTTCTTATAAATAATTCTAGAGACATAAACATATCTATGGTTCCCTTTTATGCAAAAGTGGTATCATACTCTACAGACTGAGCTGCACCTTTCCATTTAATTGTGTACAGTGTCCATGAAGTCATTCCTCTTTAGTAAAGAACTTCCTTATTCTTTACTTACAGTTTTTCAGTTTTCCATTGTGGAACATTATTTCCTAGCTTTTGTGAAGACAAACAATACTGCAATGGCTAACTTCACAAAAATGTCATTTCACACATGTGCAACTGTGACAGTAGAATGAACTCCTACAAGCGGAACTGATAGATCAAGGAGTATGCACATTTGTAGGTTTGATCATGTCATATTGCCTTCATGGAGTTTGCAGATACCATGTTTTGATCCCTAGCCACTATTACAGAGTGTAAAGCAGATAGGCATTCAGGATATCTTTGACATATACACAAATGAAGAAGAAGAAGAAAAAAAAAAGCCCAGCTCTTTTAGTGGAAATTCTCTTTTCCTTTCTCTGATGCCTTGCTTTGTTGGATAAATTTCTTCCCATCCAGTGCTGTGTTCAAACCAAACATTGAACCAAACATTGATTCATGTTCAGTATCAATGCCATTATTATTTTGGAGCAAAATTCTCATTCCAACTTCTATTCATTTCCATACCTATTTAACTAATCAAGATCCCTCTTCGTTAGCTTGGTTATAAAATATGGCACATTAATTTTATGTTATAATAACTTTGAGTCCTCATCCCACATTTTAGTAAGATATCTTAGTTATTCTACTGGGGTTGTTTTTTTGGCTGCATCTCTTGGCTTGTGGGATCTTAGTTCCCTGACCAGGGACTGAACCAGCACCCTCAGCTCTGAAAGCTGAATCAGGGAATTCCCTATTTTACTGTTTTCCCCCCGCCTGTGCTTATATAGTCCATAAATTCTTTGGAGGGGTTGCTTGTTGCTTTTACAAGTCATCAAACCTCTGTAAATTAACTTTTATTCTCTTCTAACTATGTATCCCTGTTGTTTTTCCTAGATCCACACCTTATTAGCTGTGTGAGCTCTCTATGCCTGTTTACTTAATCTATGAAATACAGGACATTAAAGAGTTGTGAGGACTAAATGAGATTATAAAGTGTTTAGCATTTAGTGCTTAATGTTTGGCACAGTGGCTTAGAGGGTAAAGCGTCTGCCTGTAACACGGGAGAATTGGGTTCAATCCCCGAGTCGGGAAGATCCCCTGGAGAAGGAAATGGCAACCCCCACTCCAGTACTCTTGCCTGGAAAATCCCATGGACGGAGAAGCCTGGGAGGCTGCAGTCCATGGGGTTGCAAAGAATTGGATACAACTGAGCGACTTCACTTCACTCACAATGTGCAGAGAGACAGTCCTTCATGGGTTTTTTATGCTTTTTACCCACATTCCTGGGGCGTCGCAGGGGGCACATTAGTAAAGAATCTGCAACAGACTTGGGTTTGATCCCTGGGTTGGGAAGATCCCCTGGAGTAGGAAATGGTAACCTGTTCCAGTATTCTTGCCTGAAAATTTCCATGGTCAGAGGAGCCTGGCAGGCTACAGTCCATAAGGTTGCAATAAGTCAGACACAACTGAGCATACACATACACACATCTACCTTCTTGCATATGACAAGAATGCAAGGCCCTGACCATTTTTTACCAGGGTCATGTCTCAGGATTATGTTTACAGTGAGCAGATGTGAGGAATGAAATAAGCTCTCCCTCCAGGATAAATAATACGTTTGCTTACTACTCCCTACAAAATGGTGTAGATTCTCCAAGCTCAGTGTTCCCCAACTGTGGAGTTTAAGACCACCAAGTACACAGCATTCATCTGAGCCTTCATGTCATCCTCATGGCACTTGGCGGGGCAAGAGAAATTAATACAAAGGGGCTGAATTTGTTGCTACTGTCGTGAATAAAATTCCTCTGTCTCTGGCCCAGGAATCTTGGATCTTTTTTCAGCATTCATGAAACAGTAACAGACTTATTAGCTTGCCAGACTTGAGCAGTAAGTGCTTAAGCAAGCTATTTTTCATATTTTTGTTCTTGTTCTTCTTACTTGACTTGCCAGGCATTCTGCACAATATTTGTAAGTTTGTGTTTGTGTAGTTAGCCAAAAAATATCAATTACTGCTATTTACAAAGAACACTACTGTGCTCTTGGGGGAAACAAAATGAATTTGAAATACAGGTAACTTCAAAATCATTGTGCAATACTATGTTATCATTTATATGTGAAATCTAAGACATAAAACACAGTAGTGAACATAACAAAAAAGAAACAGATTCTCAAAGAAAGAAAGAAAGAAACTCTCAGATACAGAAAACAAACTAGGGTTACCAGTGTGGAGAGGGAAGGTAGGAGGAACGTGATAGGGGTTGGGAATTAAGGGATACAAACTACTGGGTATAAAATAAGTAAGTTACAAGGCTATATTGTGCAGCACTGGGAATATAGGCAATGTTTTATAATAATTATAAATGGGGTATAATCTTTAAAACTTGTGAATCACTATGTTGTATCCCTGAAACTTACTTAATATTGTAAATCACTATATTTCAGTAAGGAAAAAAAAATGAACATTTTAAAACTAAAAAAAAAAAAAAACCCAAAAAACAAAATCACTACTCAATTGAAATTATTACTTGGCCACTCTAATATCCAGGTCTAAATCACTGAGATTATAGTTTCCTCTCCATAAGTTTTTACGTAGATGGGGCACTCTGGGTTGAGACGACCCCCTGGAAAAGGAGATGACAACCTGCTGCAGCATTCTTGCCTGGAACATTCCAAGGACAGAGGAGTCTGGAGGGCTATAGCCCATGGGGCCCCAAAAAGAGTCAGACACAACAGTTCTTATGTAGTTGCAATATAAGAAAAGAATGTTGCACAAAAATAACTGGGCTTTAGTTCCTGTTACTTAATAGCTGAATGACTTTGGTTCAGTTTCCTCATACGTTGAATCAAGAAATGAATTCATGACCCAGTTGTCTCACAAGATTGTTGGAGTCCCGAAATAAAATAATGTATGTAGGGACTTCCCTGGCAGTGCAGTGGTTAAGACTTCTGCACTTCCACTGCAAGAGGCACGGGTCCCATTCCTGGTGGGGGAACTAAGATTCTGTATGCTGGCAGGCAGAACTTGGGGGGAAAAAAAGAAAGTAATAATGATGTATGTAGACACAAAATACTGAGCAAACGAGTTATAATTTAAGACTGTGTTGAATCACAAATGTCAAATCTGTCCTATTAGAATTGTTTTTAGAAGTTATGAAATGAAAGGAAAATTAAATTTGCCCCGCACCAAAAGATGAATCTGTCACCTACATTCTAGGCCGGATTAGGGACTCCCAGTCCAACAGGATAAAACGAGCATAAAAGACGAACTACAACCCCCAGCAGGCTTTGCGCCCCGAATTGCGTCGTATAACCTCAGCTCCGGCCCGGGCCCAGCCCTCTCCCCGCCCCCACCAATCAGAAACTACATCTCCCAGGAGGCTTCACGGCATCTAACCGTCCTCTTTTTCCCCCGCCCCCTGTCTCCCCTTAACCCGCGCCGGTAGCTCCGTGGCCGACTGGGGTCCGGCGGTCGGCGGAGCGGGCGCGCGCGCCGGGGGTCGCGCGGCGGCTGAGAAGAGCGAGCACGCGCGGAGGGAGTGGAGGTGTAGCGGGGTGGGAGTACGGCTTGCTAGCTCGCAAGATGGCGGACGAGGACGGGGAAGGGATTCACCCCGCAGCCCCTCACAGGAACGGAGGTGGCGGCGGCGGTGGGGGGTCTGGGCTCCACTGCGCCGGGAACGGCGGCGGGGGAGGCGGCGGCCCGCGGGTCGTGCGCATCGTCAAGTCCGAGTCCGGCTACGGCTTCAACGTGCGGGGCCAAGTGAGCGAGGGCGGGCAACTGCGGAGCATCAACGGAGAGCTGTACGCGCCGCTGCAGCATGTGAGCGCCGTGCTGCCCGGGGGGGCAGCCGACCGGGCCGGGGTGCGCAAGGGGGACCGCATTCTGGAGGTGTGAGTATTGGGGCTGCCCGCTGTCCCACCCCGCCCCCTCCCCTCCGTCTGTCCCTGCATTTCTCCTCTAACCCTGTCACCCTCAGGCCGCACCTCCCTGCAACCCCCGAACCGGCCCTCCGGTCCCCCGCCCCTCCACGGAGGTTGACCCTTTTGCCTCCCCACACCCTGGGTTTCTGGGACCCCCACCTCCCTCCCTGTAATCTCCAGCGTCCCTCCTGCTGTTACCCCTGCCCCCATTGCTTTGGCTCCTTTTCTGTCCCGCTTGCCTTGCCCCCTCGGCAAGCCGCCGCCTTCTCCGCTTTCCTCTTGTTGAACCTCTTTCTGCTTCTGACTGACAGCGTCTCCTTTTCTCACCCAGCCACTGTGTGTCCCCCCCTCCCCAAGTTCTCATCTTGAACATCATAGTTTTTTGCGCTCTACCGCTCCTTTCAGCCCCCGTGGACCGTCCCTTCTGTCCTCTAGACCAGAGGCAGGACCTTTGGTCTGCTCCTGCTTTTCTCCGAAAACAGCCCCCTCCACGCCGCACTCCCTTTCCTTCCCTCAGCTACCCTCTCCTGTGGTTAAGCACTCGCTGTATTTTTGTATCCTCCCGTGTGTCCCCTCTTTTTGTGTATTCATACTCCAAGAACACCTTCTTCTCTGACCCTTGGGGTTCTTTTGGTTGGTGGTGGCGGCGTCGTCTTTGACACGATGGTTTGTCTTCACAGTAGTCCCTACATCACGTCAGGATTTTGAATCTAGTGTCTCCATCACACCTCTCTGAGAGCACCTCTGTTCTGGCCCTCGTCTTCACTCCTGCACGGTACTCATACTTCTTTTGAGTCAGAGCTTTATGGTAGAACTCTCCCTAGCTGGTACTTCCCCCGAACTACAGCCCTTTTTGGGTCTTGACCTCCCCACTTTTACAGGGCATGCCGTTTTCATTCTCTGCTGCCTTCCCTTGTTATCTCAAGCTTTATTTTTATTCTTTCTCTCCTCTGGGTTGCTTTCCCTTTCTTCTCATTTTAGGCTCCTTCTGCTGTCGCAGCCCTTCCTCTTTCCTTGTTCCACCCCTCCCCCTTCATATTCCTTCATCCTTACTTCCTCACTGCATCCCTTAAAACTCTGGCAGGATGCTGCCCTGTTTTGCAGTTTCTTTGCAGACCTCCTCCACTCCTTTAATCCAGCTGTTGCATGTGTGTTTTTATATTTTGTATTAAAATTTATATAGTGTTTGCTGATTGACTGATAGATGGTGTATACGCTGTCTCCCTTCTCCTCAGCAGTCTTCTATCTTACTGTCTTGTATATTACTTTTCCCCCACACTTCTGTTCTTCCTTTCAGAGTTTAGATTTGCCCTCAGGAATCTTTCTCTCTTTTCTTTTTCTTTTTTTTGGCCTTGCTTTGCTCTTTGCAGGATCTCCGTCCCCCTACCAGGGATCTAACCACCACCCCCCCCGCCCCGCCCCCGGACCCCCGCCCGCGGCAGTGAAAGCTCAGAGTCCTAACCACTGGACCGCGAGGGAATTCCCTCTTTCTCATTTTTATAAATGTTATTTTAACTGTAATTTCCCTAACCTTCAGCCTTTCCTCTAGTAGAACAGTAGGTTTGATCAAAGTTTCAAGGGAATAGTGTTTTGAAGGACCCGTAGCGGGTCTATCCTTTCTTATTCAGCTCATGCCTCTTACCTTTATCCTTGACCTTCTTACTCTGTGATATCCCTTCATTCTGTTTCCTCTTACCTTACACTTCAAGAGTAGCTCACCAAAGTAAGTGTTTGAAGCTATTTTACCTTTCCTCTGTCCTTTTTGTAAATGGATGAGTTATTTTTCTGTTAATGTCCTACAGTGTTTCTGGTTCTCTCTGGCAGTATATTAATCTTTTGAGGGTTTATTCTCAACCTTTTGTTTTATACCTGGGCACCTAATTCTTTGTTTTTTTCCTAGATAACTCAAAATCTGTGACTGACATTTCCTTCTGGTAGAAGCTCTTGGAATTGTCATTTTCCTTTCCTTTTCAGAGTTAATTTTGGATCCAGCTGTTTATTTTTAAATTTAAAACTGAAGTGTTTATTTAAAATTATAAATTTATCATAGAGTTCTAAATCATTTACTCTTTACTGGAGGTAAAGGGACTAAACTGAAACAAAGAATTCTGTAGAAGACAACAGCTAACATGACCATTTTATATATACTAACTAGTGTAGTTGGTGGCTTCTTGCCTTTTCTGTGGTTTTTGCCGCAGAGTTCAGATATAAACTAGGTGTTGTAAAGGAGACCCCAGGTGATTCCCTGCAGCAGGACTTGCCTCAGGCACAGATTCCAGTCTAAGCCCATTTCTCCTTCTAGAGAAAAGACATTGCATTTTAGCACATCATTAGTGGTGAGTGGAGAACTTTACTTTCGTGGGCAGGGCAAAAAGAGCACTCTTTGCTTAGAGAACCTTTCTTGGAAGGTTGTGACGATCAGATATCTTCCAGACATTGGTTTCTCACCTTCCAACTGTATTTTGATTTCCAAATTCTTTGAGGCATCTCTGCTAATAGTGAAAATAGTGATAGTGCACCACAGAGCCAAGGTAGTTGGTAATTTGGGTCCTCAACTATACAACTTCCTTCCTTCTACTAAAGTCTGCATTTTCTCCTTAAGTTTTCAAGTGAGAGGAGGAAATCAGAGACATGGTTCTTGAGGGATATCTGTATCTGGAGCTTGTTTTGATCTTGGTTAGGTTGATGCTGATTTTCCTAAAGCATTCTTTAGGCAACACTTTTCTCTGTCTCTCACCCAGTTTCCTTAATTAAGCTCTGTATTGTCCCAGGAAAGTTTTGCATGTTGATGAAGTGCCAGGTAGGGTCAGGGTAGGTCTAGGTAGGTTATTATTGTATAGATGTAGTTTGTATTGAGCCAAAGGTGGATGTTTGGACCTTGATAATTGCCTTTTTAGACTTTTCTGCTTTCTTTCAATACATAAATTATTACAATTTCCATATGTGCAGTAATTTGGACAACTGACAAGAGGTTTGAAAGAATAGAATAACTTTGAGATTTAAGAGAATACAGGCTTGGACAAAAAAGAGCATAATTTCTGTGCATTTCTTTAAAGGCTCCTTACTATGGCCTTGTCCTCATTGAATCTTGGAAAAGTCATTAAACTGAATTCAGTATGGTTTGGTTTGTCCTTCTCTGTTCAAAACTGACTAGATTCTTAACTGGTTTGGGAAAGAGTCATGTTGCAAGGCTAGATACTAGAGTATGAGCAAGCCTCTGAGTTCTGACTTTTACTGCAGATGGAAAGTTTTCTCAAATGATATTGTTAGTCTCCACCTTGTAATTTTTCAGTGTAATATATATTGAGTGTCTTCCCTGTGATGTGTATATACCTGGAGGCTAGTGAGAAAGGATGCTTTCAGCAAGTAGAACCAAAATAAGTATGTCTTTGCACTAATTATATAGCGTATGAAATATTTGACTTTAGGTTGATATTTCTTAAGGTAGTTTCATGGACTCTTGATTGATTTCTTATAAGATGCCTTTCGGAGGGTCTAAGCGTGCACTGGATATGGATATAGTACTGTCTGTTTTTGAGAGATTAGGTTTGTTTGTAGCTAGTTTGTTTTGTCTCTTTGGTATTTGTATAATATGGTCTTCGATAAGCATGAACTCTAAGGTTGGCTTGTAAGCATTCAATATCACGATATGTTTATGCTAGGCAGAGGGTGTATGCCTTACTTCTTAACAGCTGCAAGATAATATAACTTTCCTGTGTTAAATCCTAAGAAAAATTGAAGATGTTTGTGTGTATATATTTATTTGTAATTTATTTTTAAAATTTATAAATATGCCAAAGGCATTCTCTCTCTCTCTTTTTTTGCTTCATTTTACTTGAAAATTGACTAAAAAGAGGTTGGGGTCGCAAGTATTTTTATGATTTAAAAAGTGCCTTCTTAAGATATGCTTTCTCAGTTGTAGCTGAATTCTATTTAGTGTAGATTTTCAAGGTAGATTTTGAAAATGGTGTTTGAAATCATGGTTATTGCTCAAAGGAAGTTTTTATGGCAGTGATTCTCAAGCTTTACTGAGTATAAGAATCACTGGGTGTGTTTGTCAAAAGTATGGATTCTCAGGCTCACCCTTTAAAGATTATGATTCAGTAGGTCTTGCATGGTGACCTGAAGTCTTTATTTTTTACTCCCTTGCCAGGTGTGGTTAATACAGTCTACATACTGAACCTATACCTGAAGTGAATCTACAGGCCTTGAATTCTCAGTTCATTTTATTGTCATGGTTATGTAGAGAGTCATTAGTCAAGAAACAAAGTGAAATCCCAGCCCTTAGGACAATCAGTTCAGTAGATAATGGACTAACTATTATATCTAGCCATCTGTGCTTTATTTATTGAATCTTGCTTGTTATTCAGTTGCTTATTCGTGTCCGACTCTTTGTGACCCCATGGACTGCAGCACACCAGGCTTCCCTGTCCTTCACTATGTCTGGGAGTTTGCGTGAACTCATGTCCATTCAGTCGATGATGCCATTGAATCTTGCTGAGCTGTTGTAATAAAGATGAGGGTTAAGAGGTAGAACAAGATAATAGTAATAATAATCATATCACTTTTGTAGTTTGTATAGTGGCTTCCCTGGTGGCTCAGATGGTAAAGGATCCGCCTGCAGTGTGAGAGACCTGGGTTCGATACCTGGGTTGGGAAGATCCTCTGGAGGAGGGCATGGCAGCCCACTCTAGTATTCTTGCCTGGAGAATCCTATGGACAGAGGAGCCTGGTGGCTACAGTCCATCAGGTGGCAAAGAGTCAGACACAACTGAGCGACTAAGCATACAGCACGGTTTGTGCAGTGTTTTTATGTTTGATTTGATCTTCATAATAGCATTGTGAGATAGGGAAGTCAACTATTCTTGACTGAAGTCACTGAAAATTCTTAAAATTCAGTCACATTCCTGTAAAGTTGGGTAGCAATTGAACTTTGGTTCTATAGTTCTGAAGTGGAACTATTTTATAAC